CAAAACATAGTTCATCAAGAAAAAGGATGTTTCTGTATCCATGTTTACCAAAGAAGATAAGGAAAAAGGGTCTTTTTATTACTTGCAGCATTAAAATGTTATGAACAATGGACCCCAAAATATAAGGGGCAACTTTATATCCCATGCACACTGGAGCATGTGTGTGTGTATATACTAAACCTTCTTATCACAGTCTCTGACACTTTAAGCTTCCAGGCAGAATGGAAACCAAGAATGATAGCAAAATGTAACTGTAGGTATTTGTGTAAGGAGGTGTAGAATTTTTTTGCTTTGAAGTGCAACTGCTGACATTTTCCTGTGAAAGAAAGTCTGTAATCTAAATTCACAAGCAACAAATTGTAGATGATGCACTATTACTACATATTCAAACATTCACTCATCATATTTGTCCTCTGGTTTGTCTAACTTACCTCTTTCAAATCTTTGGTTTCATCCTGACAAGTTTTTAAAATCTATTTTATTATTCTACTGACGTGTACAAATACTCCTGAAATCACAATGACTCTGGAATGCCAATTCTGTCTGAACAGCTTCTTAAGGAGAGACTGAAACAAACCATTCTGTTTTTTTTTAAGCTGTTTCACTGATGTTAGCAACCAGATCTCTGTTGTGTCCCTGGTAGAGAATTATTATTCTCTACCGGTGTTCATCAGCATAATTGCATCAACCTTCCTTTCTCAACTTATGCAAAAGAATATTGTAAAATAAGAAATTTTTATTGTCAAATATCACAGTCTTGACAGAGACTAGAAATTGCAGTAAGGGGTTAAGACTATGCTTGTTCAATGATAAACTAGCAGGGTCTCTGCTTTTAAAGATAAACTACTCATATGCTAGCACCAGAGACTGGTAAAACCCAGGGAAAAGTGAAATCCCAGGCATTCTCCTTGATGTACAGAAATACTGCTTTACAGAATTGGCTCTGCTTCTCCTTTTGCCATTCCAAAATGTGCCTTTTACAGGGAGGATTTTGATTTTGATGTTGCAGCTATAAATGCATAAATTCAAAACTGTAGATTTATTTTAGAGTAGATTTCCCATGGGAATACAAAGCTGGAACAGACCTCCTGATTCATTGAGATCATCCTCTACCTTGTCAGCAGTGTCAGGCAGTCACGTCACACACACTCTTTTAACAATTGTTTTAATGCCATCCCAAAGCTAGATGTACTTAGATATTTTGTGCATTATCTCCCAAAGTGGTTCTTGTGCTAAAATCTCAGAACTTCTTACTCTAATAAAGTGATAGCCTTTGCAACTGGGTATCTGCTTTCATTACTCAGTAGGCTGCAGACTTGATGGGTTCCCTGATTAAAAATTTTTCGATTTGTTTCCACCTCAGGCTGGGTCATTCCCATTCCCCTCATTCTTCCAGCCTTTGGCCTGGTGCCGCTAAGTTCATATTGGTTCTTTCCTCTGTCCTGTAATCTCTTTCTCTGTTCTCAAATTTTCTTATTTGAGATAAATTAAATATTTCTTGTTTGAGACGGCTTAAATATTTTCTGTAAATATTTTCCCTGTTTGATGTGGCTGAACTGTCAGATAGGTAATGGCTAAATCTTTGACTACAGACATTTGCTTTCTAACCCTTCAGCACTCCAGATGCTTTCTTAAACTTGGATTTACCACCATTGGCTTTGCTTCCATTCCACCCTCATGATTGCTTCCAGAATTTGTAATTCAGCAAGACAGTGCAAGAGTGTTTGAGCACATCAGGGCATAAGATGTGAAAATGTTAAGAATGAGGTAGAATAAAAATGCCCTAGATTAGTACACTGCAATCTATCAGGAACAAGAATAATACAGAAATACTCTGAGTGAGGTGATGGCAGTTGGTGAGGAAGTGGCTGATTAAAGGTAAAAGATGTAAATCCAAAGCACATCAAACTGCAATACAACACAAGTTCTGAAATGCTCCTGGTGCCAGTCCCACAGTGCCAGCACAGCCCAGCACATTCTGCAGGGCTCCAGCACAGAGCCACTCCTTCACCACCTTGCCTCATAATAGCCCCTTTCTCTTAACCACAGGAGCAGCAACTCTGTTTGGCATACACTTGGAGCTTGTGTGAGATAGTTGTGTAAATAATGAAATTGAAATATATTTTTTCTTCAAATAAGCTGTGAAAAGACTGAGCTGTGTAGGAGACGAATGAAAACAAGGGAGGCTTTGCTGTTTTATTCACTTAATAGCATGGCAATCTGTGGGGGTCATGTTTTCTATCAACTGAAGGAAATTGTGTACATCTACTGCACACCATTTAGCTGAAGGCATCGTTACAATAGATGATCCTATGGAGGCATCTATGTATTCTTTAAATGCTCAATTATTTTGAGTGTTTATGGTAATTGCATGTCTCAGGTTCAGTTCTGCAAGATGAAATGCACTATGTGCATGATTCAGTTTCTTAGAGTGCATCGCTCTAATATTTGAACATGGGGAAATGAGTTGCTGATTACTTTTCAGTCATTATGTTTGATTTTTAGGTTTTGTATATTTAATCATATCCCATTCATTTAAATACTCAAAATTACTTTGTGATTTAAAACATGCAGCCAGATATGCTGGTTTAATACAGTGAACAAATCACTGCTTTTTACAAAAATGTTGCCATTTTTGTGATGCTTTATATCATGGCTAATATAAAAAACATAATTTTCCCTCAGTACTTTTCATTTTGAAGAGCTGTAAAACCTTATCAGAAGAACAATAATATTGTGGGGTTTTGTATCTCCTTCATTTTGCAACAGTAAAATAATGTGAAATCTCTTGGCATCATTCCAAGTAATGTTTTTTTCCAGCATATGCATACCAATGAATATTTTATTCTTCCAACATTCTTTTTTTCTGCCTTTAACCACAGTAGGAATGGCACTATAAGTAGAAAACATATGCCATCCACATAATAGTTCCTTTATTATCTTGATCCTAATGTCAGTTAAACTTTAGAAATCTTCAGTTAGTGACCTAAATTCTTCTAAGCAAGTATTCTGTTGAGGACTACTAATACGGAAATAAGTTTAAGGAATTCTTCCCATATTAATCATGTTATGCACGAAAATGCAGTTGTAGTAGCTCAAATTGGTACAGATTGAGTTTGGATTTTTTAATCACCTGTTTCACAAAATGAGGAAGAAAGTAATAATTCTGTATGTACCTTATGAAGTTGTGCCCTGTTAATTTTTTTTTTTTTTTTTTTTTTTTTTTTTTTTTTTTAGCTGACCACAGTAAAATCATAGGATCATAGAATGATAGAGTGGTTAAAGATCATCTAGTTTCAGTCCCTCTGCCTTGGGCAGGAGTGCCATTGACCAGACCCCAGGTTGCTCAAGATTCGACCTGACCCAGCTTTGAACACTTTTAGGGGTGGGGCACTCACAGCTTCTCTGGGCAACTTATTTCAGTGCCTCACCACCCTCACAGTAAAGAATTTTTTTGTAATATCTGGGAAGAGAAGAAGACCTGAAGTGCTCAAGCTGAGAGGCATCACTAACGACACACTCTGCCACCAGCTCTCATTGAACAGTTCTGTACAACAGGCAGCTCTGTGATAATATATTGCACAGATCTCTGTGCCCACTGGACAGATCAGGTGACCACAAAAACCTCTGCTTGCTACACAGCATGTATACAAGTTTTCTCTGTGTTTTGAAGAGGAAGGCGAGTCCCACCCACATGAAGATGCTGGGGAATTACCCTGGTTTTAAATCATTGGAAGTGGAACAATTGAGTAGCACCACCAGTTAGCCTGAACTTTTAGGGAGGGCCCACATTTTGCTCAGTGACTGTACAGATGGTATCTACAGGAATAGCAGTAAGGATTTGTCTGCTTGCAGCCCATGGAATGATCAGGCTTGCCTAAACTGAAGGAGTGAACAGCAATCTCATGAAATGGTTGTGTTAGCAATGTGTTTGTATATCTTGTCCTTTATTACAAAAGTAATTCACTTCCCTAAATGACTGGAATTACAGCACTGAACCATTTGACCATTCCATGCCACAATTACGTGACACCAAAGCGCTTCAAGCATTACGTGAAATAACTACGATTCTCCTTTGAAGCCTGGTGCCATGACATCCTACTGCATCAGTGCCATGCTAGGTGGGCTCTTCTGCAGGAAAGAGAGTCCCCAGCAAGTGGTCTGTGACTTATTTTTATCGTGAGTCAACCCCACCAATGAGCAGTCTGTGTCTCAAAGTACTTACTGACAGGATACAGTGCAGTGTACCTGCTCCACAGGTGAGCAGCACAAGTGGCTGTTCAGATGGTAACCTCTTCCACCCCCAAGTATTCCCAGCGCTTGGGTATGGCAAGGGGACTGAGCGAAACATAATCTGTGCCTAAGAGCTTTTGCTGCCTTTCAGCCAGTTGGCTTTCCTGTAGGGATACAAAGGGCATGCTTGCAGCACTGCTAGCATCTCATCATTCAAAGGACTGGGCAATCCATGGAAAAGACTATCCATGATATGCAATAACTCAGTCTCACATTTGATGCCTGCCAATGAATATAAATGACCACCCACATAGAAAAGCTGCCCAGCTCTTCACACTCTTTTCTCTCTTTATCATCTGCTGTTTTTCAGAAGGCCGACCTGTCTCTGTGCCAAAAACTGCTCTGGATCCCCATGCTTACACAAATATTACTGTTCTCAACAAAGTTGCACCATCCATTTTGATGAGTCTCTGAAGAGACTCATCAGGAATTTCCCCACCTCCAATGACCTGGGAGGCCTGTAGCTCCTCCCTGTAAGTGTCCCAGCTGTCTGACAAGCCCCTCACAAGGACCACTCCTTTAGGAGTCACCAATATTTGCCAACAAAACACCACTGGGGAAATATGAGACCATGTAACACAAATTTCTGATACAGAACACACAGTAAAGTACAATCAACACAGTGAACCTGGAAGAATGTGGTCTTCCCCATTGCAAGAACTAAAAAAGGTAGCAGAGACTTATGCTGCAGATAGAGCTGAATTTACCCTGTTATGAAGAAATGCAGCAGAGGATCACTTGTCTTGTCTTGCCATTATCTGATGAGGATGAGACTGTGAAGACAAAGAAGATTATGTCAGTATAAGAATCTGTTTCCAGATATTATGGCAGCCAAAGTTTTGAAAAATGTAGTTGAAACAGCCTGACAAAATATGAAACAAACAGATGCAAATGTTTCAAAGAAAAATAGAAGTGTAAAAGTTGATACCTCGATTAAAAAAATAAAATTCACTTCATGAAGTAGAATTTATTATTGTAGGTTTGGAAGTAAACATACAGGTCCATGATTTTGTGCATACACATAATAGAAAGGTATTTTTTGTGCATCCTTCTGAACTAGAAATTTTTTTGAAATAGATTTTTTCAAAGTAATTCTGTGTTGCTATTTCCTACCTGTTCTGCAGAGTATCTGAAGTTGTGGATTTATTACTAAGTACATATTGTATAGCCGGCAGATCCCCATAAGCATGAAATCCATTTCTATGTGCAATCATAAATCTTAGAAGCACTATCTTTATTAGCAAGAAAAATAAGTGATAACTAATTTTGACTTTGTGTACTAGTACATCTGTGGTAGATAAGGGACAGGCGAACGGAAGATCACGGGATGTGACGGAAAGAGAGAGACCCTTCCCCCTCTCCCTGCCCCACGTTATCTATTAACCCCAGGAGCATGTAACCACACCTGCTCTGGTAACTTTCCACTCCCGACTAACCCTGGAGACCCCTCAACCCCCCTCTGACGTAGCAAAGACCCCCAAGACTATTTAAACCCACGAGATGAGATAATAAAGGCTTTCGATCGTCCACCATACTGGTGTCAGCGTCTTTGTCGATAGCCCGAGCGGTCTGGAGAGGCCAGACTGCCGTGCTGCCTCTTAGAACCAGGTCGCCCGTTGCCCTTTATAAAGGCAACATACATCATCTTGCTTCTTCTGTATTGTTTCTTTCCTCCCCTACATATATTCTCATCAGAAGGTAAGAGCATTGTCTCTGCCCATTTTTGTTCTCTAAATGCCACCAAATGTTTAGAGGAAGGATGAAAGCTTTGTGCTTAGCACAGACTGAGATAGGTTTGTTAGCTAGTCAGCTAGTGACAGGTATTGACACGATTCCCAGTGAAAATTTGAGATGGTGGAACAGAAGATGAGGTGGAGATTCTCTGGGAGTTTCGCAGAGGAGAGCACAGCTTCACACACGCTGTGTAGCCTGTGCCGCACATACAACCCCCAGTGAGATACAGGAAAGGCTACTGAGAAAAGATGGCAGTCAGGAGTAGGATGCTACAGCTGCCACATTAATTCATGCTGCATGAAGCTCTGTGTCTAAAGGAGGCAGCTGGAAAGAGGGCCAATGGGCCAGATGAGTCATTTTCTAAAGGGCTGCATTGAATCATAGACTGTGGGCGGAGTGTTCCTCATCTTGTAGTGCTGGTTTGATTTCACCGCAGGCCACTGAAGGCTGGATTAGTTTTAGCTTAAAAGAGAGGACAAAATGGATATTTATGAACTCAAAAGCATTGGTGTTTTTGCATGAGTCACCTGATTGGTGGAGATGGCAAGGGCAAAGTGATTTTTGTATGCTTCCTCACTAACGTAGAGTGGCTTCAAGCCAAGCTGGGCACATCCCTGAGGTCTGTTTATGTCTGTATTTTCACTGCCTTTGCTATACCTGCTCTGAACCAGTATTTGCCATATCTGTCTCCAAAGATTTATCTGAAATTGTTTATCAATCAATATATCTGGCCTTCAAGTCTTAATTTAATAGAACACTGTTTAATTAACATTTTTTATAAATAATAAACATTTCAGTTCTTAATGAAGCCAAATACAAATCACACTTTATATTAAAGAGACAGAAGTGAACACTCCAAGAGTGAGCACTGCAGGGGGAAATTCTTGCACTGTAGTTGTAGATTTGTTTTCTTGCTTTCTTTCTGTAGACCTTAGGTTTTTCTAAATTCATTGCCCAGAGATTTTTTTTTAATGTATAAATCATAAAATCTTAGAATAATTTACATTGGAAATTATCATTGCAGGTATATCATATTGCATCCTCCTTGAGAAAAAAAAATACAGTGACATTCTCAAATGTCATGAGCATAATTAGAGTGTTTGTTTTTCCTTCCTCTATGCACAGAAAAAGGTTTCATCAGAACAAACTGTTTCTTTGTGATTGTAATTGAGGTCTGTAAATCACATCACATGCCTACCAGGACCATCCGATTAATTCCTTGCACAATTAAGCCAAGCATTAGTATCAGTTGCACTATAACTGCACATAACTTGACTTCACATGAAACTAGAATCTAGCTTTTGTACCACTTCACTTTCTCAAGATTGGTTAATAAAGTGAAGTTCTACACTAAATACCTGGTCTTGCTAAAGTAGTTCTTTGCCCTCCTACATTATGCTGTGAAATCTGCAACAGTAGAGTAAATACTTTGATTCACAGTATTTGTGCTTCAGAATTTGAAATCATAGTTTTAGTCCAAGGCTTCACCAAAGCCATGGTGTTCTTATGAAGATGTTGCCCTAATAACTCTCTATCCCTCTAAACACCCACAGCACCAACAGCTGTAGCAGAGACAAACGGAGACTTGTTCTCAAAGAAATATCCCAGTGACCCCGCCAGTTGGGGTGTTTGCCTGCTCCTGTAGGAAGAGGCCTCCTGGAGGAGGTCCACATGAATACTTCACCAAAAGCTGAGGGTAAGCACATGAGCACAGATTTTGACAATACAGGGACTGTCAATAGGTTCATGATACAGGACAGAGAGTTGTACAGCCACAGAATTATGATGATTATGATCACATGTACAAGTCATCAGTGGTGCAATGGGCCCTGACACTTAACTTTCTCATAAGCAAGTGAGATGCAGGAAACACCCTGTCTATTTGACTACCTGCATAAAATTCTTTTAAAGAAAATTTTCCTCTGATTTGTCTAAAAGTCTGTGGGAGAAAGTGGATGCAGTGTGACATTGGAAAATACAGTTTCAGCCCAATACCCAACCCACTTTGCATGTGGGTTGCTCACATGCCACTGCTCAAAAAAGAAAAAAAATTAGTGTCATGAGCCAGCTGGACACATCTTTTTCCCATCTGTTCCATATTTATTTATTTTTTCAACATTTGATTTACTGTTTAGTGTTTATATTTCTCTTATTTGGTACTCAGTGGAGAACTATAAAAAGTCATCAATGTCTCCTTCTGTTCCAATCATCCTGGAATTCCCACAGCCAAACATGGCTGCAAAGCCAAGTGCAAGCTCTGTCACCGAGCAGAATAATATTTTATTTATGTACTTATAACACCTTCAGTGGCCATATATTTCCCAGCTATCTTTACACAGTAGCTACAACAGTGGCAGAATATTGGAATGTCTAATTTGACTTGGGAACATTCTCTTTTCCTTTCAAAGAATAAAGAAGTTTCTAACAGATGAACAAGTAGTCATAATTCTAAACCTGGTATAGGATCAATTCTAAATCCTCAAACCCTTTCTTCACTTCCTGCTTCAAAAGACAAGAAACACAATGTGTTTATTCTTGGAAAATTTAAAAAACTGAAGGGAAGAACTGGAGGGAAATGAATCCTAATGCTGAATGTGTCTCATAGGATGTTATTTTCAGTTCTGATTTAAGTCAGTCATTGCATCTCTGGGAATTTTCAAGGCTGCTAACCTGCTTTGGAAAGCAATTTCACTAACACAATCTCCATAAATTAGTTTAGTTTTGTTCTTGAAAGACTGTTTCTTCATACTTGTTAATGTTTGTATTGTAGCTCTGCTGCTGCAGGGATACAAGTAAAGATAACTGGGGGAGGAAAAGAGTTACCAAGTGATCATAACCTTAATAAGCATTTAATGAATCAAAAGTACCCCTTACACCACCCCTCCTGGCAGCACAGAGAGTTAGAGCCAGATCAGCTTGTTCTTACTTGGAACAGTTAAATCTTAAGCACTCCCAAACATTTCAGACCAAGAAGCCCTAGGAAGTCTACATGCAGGAAGTGGAGTTTGAAGGGGCTGCAGGTCACGGTGTGTGGTCTGTTATCAGTTCTGCAGCAGCTCAGCAGCAAGCACTGTCACAAGCTCTACCATTTTTCTGGGTCAGGAATATGATCTAAAATTACAGGGAAATATAAAGTTCCCCAGAAGGAGCAACTACTTGAAGTGTTATGCTGCGCATCTAAGTTTGGCCATGTCTGCCAAGCAGACATTTCAATACTCCACAGGCTGTTGTTTTGAAGACCACAGCTACTCAGCTCTTGCCTGCTGCCTCAATTCCTAATATAGGGGTAAGAAACTGCCTGTGCTCAAAACAATAGGAAACAGACCACTTCTTATTTGCAATCTTACTGTCATGATCAATAAACCAGTTCTTGTTTTTCAATTTCACTTGGGATTGTAAATATTTATCGGAAAACTGCAACAGTCATCCCAACAGGACAAGAAGGATGATGGAGTTTACACCAGCCATGAGCATAGAGCAGGAGGTGGCCAGAACAGCCGATGCTTTTGCTATCACCATATACTGCCTGAGTAGCATGAATTCATAACTACCAGTAATATATAGTTCCTTTTCATTATTTGGTTACTTTGTTATTTAAAACATAGTTATTGAAATCATAATATCCAGTTCATTTTTTCTATGAAGAACACAGGGCTACAGAACAACCCAGGTTTCCTGCTTTTCATATTGTGCAAAACAAAGTGTATTGTACTGTATTCCTGCTGTTTGCCTGATTTCCAAAATTTAGATTTATGATTATGTTCAGTACCAGAGGTAAGTCACACGTCTATAAACAATGGTCACAGTACAATGAATTTTGGATTGAACACCTTTCACTTAAAAACATCTGTTCTCCTGTGTTTCCTAAAAGTTTGCATGGTGTCTTTTTCATTAAATCTCTTCTGTTCAGTACTTCCTATTTTTTTGGACTTCAATAACTTTCTTTCAGAAAAAGAAGACAGACAGTGGCACTGTCTGGGAAAAAAGCCAAGAAAGACCTTTTAGTAACAAACTCAATGCTCCTGAGATGCATGGGAGC